GAGAGAGAGAGAGAGAGAGAGAGAGAGAGAGAGAGAGAGAGAGAGCTTGGTGACATTTGGATCCAGACTCGACGTTGGACTTCAGACATTTGGAAGAGGGATTATTTGGGACTTGTAACGAGACTTGGTGTTGACAACCTTCCCATCTCCCCCTTCCTCTTCTTCGTCTGATTCCCTCCTCTTCGTCTGTGTATGTCTGGACCTGGCGCCTCTTTCCTGTGTATACCGCCACGCCCCTTCACACCTTGTGATGAGCATGATGTACGTTTGGTCTGCGTTGAAACATTGATTGGGCTAGTCAGTACTATTCTAGCATTCTCCTTCGCTATCCTGTACTATGTGAAAGTGGTCAGTCCCGGTCAGGTCAGGACTTGTATCTAAAGTCTTCCCTGCACTACAAAGCACCATTTTGTATGTATCGGAATGCACATTGCTTGTTGAGATTTCACTTCCACTGCATTGTCCATTTAGTCCTTTTTATCACATTGCGGATCCTCGGTTTACATGAACATCGCCCAACTGGGCATGTAACATCAGCATTCGTGTTGACGTCACGTACATTGGTCTTCGACTTCAAAGTGATCCAGTTGCAAGAACGTGGATAGGCTAGATAGGCTGACTCGGATAGGCTGGGCGCTGGGCGCCAGACAGTAACTGCGACATTGAATACAGTGTTGGTGTGACCAGAGAGTGGCGACATTGACACCTAAGTTCATTGTATTGCTCTTATTTGGACGGTATCTTGGTACAGTGCACTCTCTGCAAAAAATCATCAGAGGAAATTCCAATAGCGCAAATTATACCAAATTTGCCGTGCAGGAACCTTAAACAAAACAAAAACAGGCAAAAAAAAAACATAAGGATCGACCCCCGAACCCTAATTTCAGTTTTGGACCTGTTACACGGGAGCTGAAAGTTGGGGTCCCGGTTAACCACTTGTGGTCTGCTTGAGCATTGCGTAGTTCTAGTTGGTGGTCCCTCGTTGTTACTTGAAGGACAGCAACGTAAAAGCCTCTTCCCAGGTATAATCACAATCCTGTGGCTGTAGGCCAGGAAGATCAGCATCGAGCTGAAGCGCAATTGCGAGGAAGTCTGACGGTGTATAAAACATGTGGCAGAGAATGTGAAGACAGATATTAGTTGCGGTTGGACCACGGAGATTGGCAGGGATCACAGGCTGGTGTGCAGGATGCTGGCCAACAATTTACAGATCACACAGATGGTGCTGCAAACCCAAAATGTCCTGGGCTGTTTGCTGGTCAGTCATTTGCACATCACTCATGTGGTCTGTGCATGATGGGGCGCAAAATTGTGGTTCATCCAAAGCATGCTGGTCAGCCATTAGCAGATCCCCCATGTGGTCCGCGTTTTGTGGGGTTAATTGCAATCCGGGCAAATAATGTTCCAATCCCTCGACCTTCGGGGTGAGATCCTGAGTCCCTGGAATCAGGAGTGTGGGCCAGGCTGAGACTGCATCCTCTTGTACAGATGACTCCTGAATATCTAATGCTGAAGGCATAAAACAGGGTTCCGGCGGTTCCCTTCAGGAAGCTTGACTGTCTGCAGGAGGCATAGGAGCAGATATCATAGATAGATAAATATTGTTCTATAGAATTTTGGACATCTCTCTCTCTCTGTCTCTCTCTCTCTCTCTCTCTCTCTCTCTCTCTCTCTCTCTCTCTCTCTCTCTCTC